GGTCTCAGTAATACATGCCAGGTCTGCCCCCTCCGCGGTGATCAAGTCACATATGAGGGGGGCCTTGTTGTTAACTGACCTGGCATTAAGCAGCAGCAGCCGAAGGCCAGAGCCCCTATGAATCTGCTGACCAGGCTCTGGGAATGAGCCAGGAGGGCCAGAACACGCCACTGGTAACACACATTGGGGGCGTCTTCCCCAAAGATGGCCCGCCCTCCAGCTCCTGCCATATCGTCCCCTACCTGTCACCACCTCAATAGAGTAGCCCACCGCATAATCCCCGGGGGCTGTAGGCCCAGATGTCTCCAATCCTGAACCTCCAGGTTCCCCAACCCGGGGCAAGGGTCCCTCCTTCCAGCCACTCATCCTCATTCACACCCAAACACTTGCAGGTGAGGGAAGGTCGCCTTGGCACACAAGCTCGCGCTCTCGGCGCCATTAGGACCCACCCCCCACCAAACCTTACACTCCCACACACCCTCTGCCATCCTGCATGACCTCTCTCACTAGTTGGCAGGGTGGACCTCCCATTCACTCCCTCGCACCTCCTGTCTCCCACCCAGAAGGTGGATCCTGACCCTAATATCCTCATGCACTCCCCAGACTCCCTCCCAGACTCTCATTCCCGGGAGGGAGTCCCAGACTCACACTGGAGGGACTCCACGGATCTCCACTGGCCCTGGGGGGGGGTAGGTGTGGGTGGATAGCTTCCGATGTGCTGGTTTTAAAACCAAGGGCCGTTGGTTTCTTTTGCTGTCCGGCTGCTCCCCAGTCCAGCTGTTCCTCTGATGCCAACGATCTTCCTCCACAGCTGGACTGCAAGTCCACAACAGCCTCAGCCCCCCCAACCCACCCAGCGTCTTTGTGCCAGACCATCAAGTTCCCAGGACTCCAGCCGCCTGTGTGTTCCCACATCCCTGGAGATTGCTACCTTGCTCGGGGGCTCACTAAAACACAACATGTGGCCCCGAGGTTGATGGAGCTCGCAGCGCTGCTCCAGGGGCCCCTAGGGCTCGCTATGCCACATTAGGGCCTGCTGCACCTGATGGATCTTGGATTGGGTCCACTGCGACTGGGTCTTACTGGGCCCTCTAGGCCTGGGATTCGATGTTTCGCACCGGTGTCCATTGCAGTTCGCCGTACCATGTTAGGGCTCGCTGGGGCTTCCCGTGCTGCGCTAGAGCTCGCTAGGACTTGCCGTGGCTCATTGCACCCCTCTGGGGCCTCGTCGGCTCAGGCTCGATGAAGGTCGCTGCCCACGCCGAGGTCTGCAAGGACTCTCTCCATCACGCTCAGCTCAGGTGGGCTCAGTTGGCTTGCCGCATTACACTGATGCCCCTTGGGGTGTGTCACACCAAGGACCAGCCAAGCCCTCCACTCTGGGGGCTCGGCACACCATACAGGGACCGCGCCGCACCGGAGCTTGCCCGAGGCTTGTCCGAGGCCGTTGCTCTCCGCCGTGACCGCCACTCACTGCTCGCGCCCTGCCGCTCTGTCCAGGGTAGCGCCCGAGGAGACACACCAAAGGGGAACCCCCCTGTCGAGGTCTCCTCCGCACCCAGTCCACCCCCTAAAAGATGGTAAGTCCCGGGGGGAGGGGGGTCAAAACTATAAACCCCCTAATGCAGCGACAATGACTGGCGTTCGCTGGTGGCCGCCATCTTGGAAAAAAAAATTATACAGAATGCATTACACTTTTATTTCAGTCCAAGATTCTCATCTTTTGTAGCCAGTCAGTAATGACAAAACTTGAAAATACCAACATTCTCTGATAACTCTACTGAAACTGCAACATCCTTAAAAAGTATAACCTAATCCAGAAGCCAACAATGTACTTGGCTATAATGTGATTTAAATGAGTCAGGGAGACTAGGTTTGCGATCTTTTATGCATTTACTCAGGAGTAATACCCTCTGTATTTTGCCCATTGCTATTTTAGTTCAAACTATTGAAATCCATGTTAGCATAAAGTATTGTTGTCCTCATTAAAACACAATGTACAATGTATAAATGGGGGAAGGTGCAGAAATCAAAAGTGTAAAGTTTGGAGGATGGAGTCTCCTTGACTCAACTGGGATAGTTGACAAGTATAAGATCTCATTCCTACCTCTTTTAGGATATGCTGCAATCCCATCTTGTTGTGAAGGAAAGGAGAAAGCTCTCAAACTGTGTGATGCACTTCCTTGAGTTGTGGAGTCCTTGGGGTTCTCTGAGCTCAGAGAACCCCAAGGACTCCACAGTTCAACCCTGAGCTACACATATTCACTGCTATTGGCACTTCCTTGAGACTTCCACTTGCTCTTACTATTTCTAGGAAAGGAGTCAAGACCTTCCTTTGTAGCCAGGCCTTTTCAGTCTGAATTAGTTAATAACACATTTAAAATAATTATCAGTTTTTGTTTTACCTTTTCTTATTAGCTTTTTTGAGTGCTGTCTGGATAGAAATCAAATAAATAACTAAGGTAGCCTTCAGCCACTAACTTTATCCCATTCAGCTAGTCTGCCATTTTTATAAGCCAAGAGGGACAAGGGACAAGGGATAAGTTCACTTAGGATGGAGCTCTCCACAGTATTGGTCAAGGGTTGGTTGTTTGGTAGGTTTTAATCTCACTCAGGACCCTTTGTGGGATTTGCTATTCAGGCCCCCAACAACAAGCACCCATTTAGCTCTGCATTTATCAGAAGTCCTTAGAAAAGGGTGGAGCTGTATTTGTGGTAAGAAGTTAAGTAGATTCCAGACTTTTAGAGTGTGATGCAAAGCACTGCTGATCAAGATGATTACTGAGATGAAGAAATGATTAAAAAGTTCTGCTGCTACAATGTCCTTAAAATCAAATCCATTAAGTCATCAATTATGTGGACTGAATTAAATTATTGGCAAGGAAGAGCAACCCACTGACAACAGTTGCCATGTGACTCTGACAAACCATGATACAGTATATTGGATGTATGCTGGAACCCTAGTTCTTCCCAACATATCAGTACAGTGAAATATAGACTGGTGGTCTGAAAATATAGTCCATAAATTTAATGGAAGGCATATAAAATGAAAAATATCTCTAATTCTCAACAATTGCCTTTGAATAAAATTGGGCAAATAATTATTTAAATATACAGTCCACTTCATACCCAATATCTGAGGCAGATAAAATAAAAAACTTCTAATGGAAATGTTGCACTGAAACAGGACAAATTTTAATCATTTATTTTGAAATCATCTGCTGATTTTAATCAGGATTCCAACAAAGCATATAATCACTCAAAAAGTACCTTGTAGAGCTGATGCTTTAGACCACTCAGGCACGTGAGAGGAGATGCAAAATTAAATGATGATGATGATGATGATGCATCCCTAAGTCAGCCTTTCCCTGGAGAAAATGCATCCATCAAGGGTGTTACTTAATAGCCACTAACCACATCACAATTATTTAAACTATAAAGTGTTGACTGTAGCCTGCCCCAAACCCACACCATAAAAACAATTTTACTACACCGCTATAATACCATTGGAATTGCATAGCTCAGTTGCAGATTTTTATTGTAAAAATCAGAAGGAATATGGAAATCCACATAAGCTATCTAGTGTAACATTCTATTTTGTTAAAAGTAGGTCAAATGTGCTGATTCTCTTTGAACAAATATAGTTATGTTTGTATTTTTACAAGCACCTTGAGACTATCCATACTAGCTAGCTACAGTGCCATTTGGGCATCCCTGTGGTGATATCTTACTAATGCAGATAGACTTTATATAGTGCCACACAATGGTTGGGTAATGTTATAGATGACAGCCAGTTTGGTGTAGTGGTTAAGGTATCAGGCTAGAACCAGGAGTCTGTGAGTTCTAGTTTTGCCTTGGACACAAAGCCAGCTGGGTGACCTTGGGCCAGTCACTTTCTCATAGCCCTAGGAAGCAAGCAATGGCAAATCAATTTCAAAAAACCTTGCCAAGAAAACTGCAGGGACTAGTCCAGGTAATCTCCAGGAGTCAAAAAGTGACCTGAAGGCATTAAAAAAAATGTTGTAGAAAGCTAGTGTGGATAGCCTCATCTCAATTTTTTTTTTTTCCTGGAAGAATTAGCAGAACCAGAAGCTTGAAAATATTCCAGCTGTAAGAAGTTGACTTCAGAAATCAGACTGTAAGTATCTATATGTTTCTACCATTACTTAAAAAAGTATTGTCACATAAATGCCTGCCAGCCAGCAGATCTACAAGGATACCTGGAAACTGGCCAATCCAATCTTGATTTGTTGAAGTTTAATTAGTAAGAGTAATTAAATTAATTGATTAATCAATTAACTTTAATTTTATGTAGATGAATTAGCTTAATCTGGTCATTGGGATGGAAAATTGCTTTGAATCCTTGAGTTCTATCATAAAAAGATTGTGGAATAAATCTAACAGATAATTAAGTAATTGTGACCCTAAAAATGTTTATGAAGTCTAAATCATCATATCCTTTTCAAACATTTCCAACCTTAATGAGAAAACCCTAACTTCATGGCAAGAAATATTTACAATATAATAGAAACATTTTGTATTAAAAAAGAAAAGGCAATGAATAAATAGAAAATAATTATACTTTAAATCCTTAAATTGGGGATGGGGATTTCCTAACATATTTTTTACTTTTCTACTGAAACATATTGTCTCCATTATACTGAAATATAAATATAAAAAAATGGATAGAGTTTGAAAATTCCCATTTATATAGCAAAAAATTAGCGTAATCTTGTTTAAAAAGCCAATCTACAAAATCCTTTCCTGAAGTACACAATTGAAACAGGTGAAAATGGCATCAGAAATTAGCACCATACTGTTGCTCCCTACCCTTAATGCCTCTTATAGGATATCAGTCTTTTCTAATGAATGTAAAGGCTCTACAAATCAAGACACAGAAACAGGCAATTCTAGACAGACTAAAATGATGTTTGATAAATGGAAAAATGAGACCCAGTACAGAGATAAACTATTAATTTTTTTTTATCCCACCTTTATTATTTTTGTAAATAACTCTAGGTGGTGAACATACCTAATACTCCTTCCTCCTCCTATTTTCCCCACAACAACAACCCTGTGAGGTGAGTTTGGCTGAAAGAGAGCGACTGGCCCAAAGTCATCCAGCCGGCTTTCATGCCTAAGGCAGGACTAGAACTCACAATCTCCTGCTTACCCACTAGACCAAACTGGCTTTAGGAAAGAATTGGCCACAGCATTGACATGTCCTATTTTTCTTTAAATATGAAGATGTAAAAGAACTAGCCCTACACACTCTTACTGACTTTGAAAAACTCAAAAAGAAAATTCAAAATAGATAAATGTAAAGAAACTGTAGTGTTGTATTAAATGTCTCTAGAATGTAAAAATCAATCTTTAAAACATTTTGGGAATGGGATCTTGGGAAAAAGTATTAGTGATCCATTGGTGATAAGCCTATCAGTCTATCCCAACCCCTGGGGGAAAAGCCACCCTTCACCACCCTCCAGAAGGCTAAAAGGGCAGGGCCTGCTGGATCGCAGGGGAAGACTGTTCCACAGGGAAGGAGCTGCTACAGAAGGGTGGGCACATTCCTAGTCCCATTAGATGGCGACAAATAACCTGGCTCCATGCCATGTAGGGCTTTAAGGGTAATAACCAGCACTTTAAATTGCACCTGGAAAAAGACTGGGAGCCAGTGTAGCTCGCACAGTAGTGGTGTTAACATGAGCAAACCAAGGGGTACCCAGCAGTGCACCAGAATTTGTTCCAAGAAGCCTCACAAAAATTATATACATATATGTTTTGCGTGTGTGTGTGTTTTGTGTGCATGTAGGTAAGAGAGAGAAAGGAAATCTTTCTTTGGGTCCACACTTCTCTAATTTCTGAGGGGAAGTATCTGAAGCATCTGTTCTTGGCTTAGATGCACTGGACTGAGATTGATAGGATGGTCCCATAGGTAAGTCTTGTACACCTTTATAGGTTAACACCAACAGTTTCATTGGGGAAAAGGGAAATCTGACTTCTCCCACTCATGCCTGCGACACAGCGGCATTTATACACAGGTTTTGCTCTTTTTCATTCAGAGGAAAAGGGGAGCCTCATAGCTCCTGTCCTACATCACCCAGTAAATGAACAGCTCACTTCTATGAGAGAGGTGAACTAGACCTGTCAGCTGCAGCGACCACTAGTTTTCTGCATTGAAGCTCTTGTGAGAGCAGACACAGCATATGTGAATGGATGCCAAAAAGTTTAACCAACTTTTTATTAACCTACTATTTATCATTGTAGACTCAGCTCTCATGAAAGACTGAGGAGTTATACATTTTTAAAGTAATATATTTTTAAAAGTTGCATTTTGAGCCCACAACCTTATCCAAACAAGGTAATTCTGTTACAATAACTGAATCTGAAATGAAACTGTGCCACTAATCAGTAAGATGAAGCAGTGGTTTACTTGAAAGGAAGTACTTCAGTATATTCATTATAAGTCAGACTATTAATGCAATTGCCCTGAAAGGATTTCAAACGGCTTCACAGTGCTTATGGAATTCAGATACAATTATTTCATAGATTTCTAAATAGAAACAAATGTTGAGTCAATTGTATGATGCAGGTGCAATTAACAGCAAGAAGCAAACAGAATAGTTTTAGATATTGGACTCAATTGTCCTTTGTCAGCTCAGTTCACTGCTCAGTGTTTATCAGCCCAAAAATGTGGAAGAGATGAATTAAGAACCCTCAATAGGTTCTTGAATTAAGAACCCTTAATAGCTTACTGAACCTCCTTAGTCCTTTATTCTACAGCCAGCCACAACCACAACTTTCTCAAAAAACCAAGTTAAAATGATCATTAGCTTCCTCCAACCTGTGATTCCATTGCATCATTGGGTATGCCTCCTGCAGTTTGGAGAAAAAGAAAAGTATGTCCTCTCACTGAAGTTTGGAAAAGTTGCTGTATCTGCCATATAAGTTTTATCACAATATTCTCCATAGTTCAAGAAATTGCCTAAAAAATGAAAGAATAACACATAGGACTCATGAAATTGAATATTTATTTATTTATTTATTTAATTTATGCTTTATTTTAATTGCAAATACATGTTAAATGCATGTTGAAAGAACATAAAATACACCTTTGTATGTAGTTACATCCCACATCTGCAAATAATGACTTGCTTAAGCTACTGTAAGATTCTGTTATCACTAAGTTCACAGTAGCCAAGCTCCCCATCCATATAAATTCCAAACATAGAATCAATCCCTGGATAAATGTTAAAAAAATCAGCCTCTTTACAAAGTATAGCAATATACTGTGTTGCAAATAGCATACTGAAACAACTGCAATATAAATGTACTGTTCTTCAGGATGTGTATCGTCTGAACTAGGGATAAGGGAATCAACCATTCCACTGTGCTGTTTAGTCCAATGTGAACCAAGATGGACGTTTCCTGTTTCTTTCTATAATTCGCTTGCCTTCATCTTCAGTTCTGGGGGTTTCTCCTGTATACAGCACAATGCTTTCTACAGTGGGAGCCTTATGTGGTCCATCTTCCAGTAGTCTTATTTGCTTTCTTATGGCATAAGTTTCTTGTTTAACTTTTTCATAACAGTAGCCACAAAGAACATGCTTCTCTTTCAAGTTGCCACATTCAGGACAGATATCTACATTTTTCTAAAAGAAAAAAAGAGAGAGTCTTAAGATGCAGTGATGAGAGAATGTTTAATTATTTATAAAAATTCTTATCTGTTTTTCATTAATAACCATAACAATAAAGTGGAGTACAAAACAGGATTAAACAACATATCAAAATCATAAAACTAGGGCAACAAGAACAGCACTGCCCAATGCCAGGGAATATTTGAAGGGTTGAGTCTGCATTTCAGATTCCTGATGTTCTAGAGGGTTGCAGGAGGCTGTTTGGTGAAGAAGCAGGAGTGAATTTTTGGGGGGAGAGGTATGTAGGGTTTGAAGGAGAGCAGGTCTCTGAAAGCCAATCTGCTCCATTTCACCCTTAACCTTTCCAAGGACCGGAACTCGAGTGTGCGTATGGAAGGGATTCTTTCATTTTCCAGGAATCTCCTATTCCTAATGCCCTACTTAAAAAATAGTCTGAAACTAGGCAGAAAATAGGTACCGCGTGGGTAGGGTAGATGGATAGTTTTCTGGCTGAAACAGTTTGTTTTCCAGGAGGTTAGGAGTTAAAGTAAACAAAATAAAAACAAAACCACACTAAAATCCAGCTACTTTGCAATCAAACTTTGATTGCACACTCTCAGCTGGTAGGGGCTTTATGCAACCCACAGACTGCTCAGATTTATACTATACATTTGCAGCAAAACCACTGTGAAACAAATGTACATTTATACTTCTGAACTTACTTGCCAACTTACTCCTGTTGGTGCTGAAGAACAGACATTTTAGAAATACTGCAAGAGAGGCAAATTTCAATTTTCTGCAAACAGAAATTTAACAAATTACCTTTATCTTTATAAGGTGGTTAGAAGCCCTTCGCCTGCAGCGATTCACTTCAATTGTTCGCCTTGACTTTGGAGCTGGCATCCAAAATATGCTGTCTAAAAAGCTTGGATTCTCATCATATTCAGTTTTTTCTTCCACAGGATTCGGTAAAGAAGCTGGAGCTTGTACAGCCAAAGCAGGAGCTTAAGGAAGAGATATCAACTCCAAATAGTATCATATCTTAGTCTGTTTAAGGTAGTTTGTTTAAATTCAATATGGGATGCTAAAACTTTTTTCCAATGGGGTTCATTTTGAACTGACAAGTATTTAGATTTTAAACCAATGACATCTCAAGCTAGCCACATGCAGTACACTCTTCAACATATTTACTGAATAATCAAGTATCACTGTATTAACACATGATTTATTGACTAGGATAGCAATTTTAAACACTTGAAAAGAAGTAGGCAGCACTAAAAACAAAGGGGGTTACTTCTGAATAAACACGCACGCACACAATTGCAACCTAAAGTATATACATCATTCAATTGTTTTTTTAAAACAAAAAAGTCTCTTTTGTTCCTTGTTTTTTGTTTTGGTGCCTTCGAGTCGGCGTTAACTCCTGCCCGGATTAGTCCTTGCAGTTTTCTTGGCAAGATTTCAGAGGTGGTTTGCCATTGCCTCCTTCCTAGGGATGAGGGAAAGTGACTGGTCCAAGGTTACCCAGCTGGCTTGCCTTAAGGGAAGCTAAAACTCACCGTCTCCCAGTTTCTAGCCTGGTGCCTTTACCACTACACCAAACTGGCTCTCATAATCTTTTACCGTTACTTACCCTAATATTTTCTGTTCCTACATTTTAAGGCTATGGACAACACGTGAGGGAGATACACAATTTTGGAGCCTAGTATAAGAATGCTGTACTTTCAGCTTTAATACTACCCTCCATTTTAACCAACATTGTTTCTCTGTAAAAAATCCCCTCCCTGCACTGTCTCCATACCATACCGTTTGTCTTGGGAAAGAGCAGAAAAAGAATAACAGGCAAGGGAGCAAACAGACCGGCCAGCTAGCGTGAAAGGAGATGAAACAGCAGAGTCGAAGCTACTCCGACTAGCAAATCTGCAGTGGAGTTCATTAGAAATAATAAAGTCTTAATAGCTTTAAAATCCCTCCTTGGCTTGAGTGACGCTAAGCACCTCCAACAAGTAGCTTGAAGATCACTGCGGAAATTTTCTATTGAGCTCTTGAGGACTAGCATGATGAACAACACATTAGTGACTCTTACCCCATGGCGATCCGTGGCCGCCAAGCTGCCCCCAGCAGCTTCGGAGGAAACGACGGAGTTTGGGCAAAGGGGATGAGAATACTAACAACGAGGCCATGTCACTCAATCCTCGCTTTCCCGGCACCTCTCGCTGCTCCGCCCACAATTCAGCTACGGAATCGGAACTTACAAGTTAGTGGTCACCGCAAAGAATCCTGGGAAACCGAGTCAAACTACCTGCCATTAAACCATTAAGCAACTCTTACACGCCTTTGACGAGCTACCTTGCTCGTTCGGTGAGTTTTGAGTTTCAAAGTGCACAAGAGGCTGCAACTGAGAGCACGCGCAGCCGACCTCAAAGATTCCCCATAATTCACCGCACTCCTGGCAATTTAGAGCCACGTGCTGCTTGGGGATTTATCAGGCGAAATTCTTTTGTCATAAAACTGCGAAGGCGAAGAACGCTCGAAAATCCTCTGTCCCCGGAAGCTTTTTTCTTCTGCGCACGTGCTACAGTTCCAGCGCGCGCAGCCGCAGTGGCCAGAGTCGGCTGTGAGTGTCGGTGGCGCGGAACAAAATGGCGGAACGCGGCTATAGCTTTTCTCTCACCACCTTCAGGTAGGAGCTTCTCTTGAGGGGGGAGCTTTGAGGCGGCCCGGTTGAACCGGCCAGAGCGGCATGGATGGGTTGTGTCTGGACTGAGGGAAAGCTCTTTGTTTGATGGGTTGCTGTATCGGGAATAAGAGAACGGAGAGAGATTTTGTGGAGTCACTGCTGCTGCTGTCGGTGGCGCGGCCTTGTTGTAGGAAGAAGTGGCACGAAGGTGCAGTAATGGTAAAACTGTGAGCTGCGTTACACACGAAGGAGGAAGAATTTGAGTTTAGTTATGGGATTTTTGAATGGACTTAAGTCTTTAGTGTGAGATAGGCCTTGTTTCTCTGCTCTGCGAAGACCACATTTGTCACCTACCGGCACCTTTGGCAGATTAATTAGTGGTGCTAGATAATATATCAAGAGCATGTAAGTAGCGCTGTTACTGAAATGAGGGAAAAGATACTTGGAGTAAAAGTCGGCGGTATAATTTATTGTAGCTCTTTTTCCTCCTAAGGAATACAATCCTAATGTTATAAAATGGGTGCTGAAAAAGCCCTTTTAATTGCGATACATTTCTACCTAGGACTGTTTTTTGAAATAATAAATTAGCAGTTCATTTGTGGCCGGCGATGTCGAGGATTGCACAGTTCATTAGTACGTTCATTGCTACAATGCTACATTAGTGATATTAAAATTGTGGAATATGATTATACTGTTGTCGCAATAAATCAGTTTTTGTCACTTTTGTGACACATGCTCTTAATAAAAAATGCTATGCTACACCTTTCGATTTTGTATAATTAAAGGCTGGACATACTGTGACTGTACATGTTCTGTCTGCCACTTGATTTTTCATTAGATTTTCTTTCTATGATAGACTATAATGCTAAAAAAGGAATCTACACTTTTAAATATATATAAAAATGGTTGAATATTCCCATTTTAGTTTTATTTTAAAAAAACACACAAAACTATTAATTCAACATGCATTTTTCAGATTATGTAAATTCAAATTGCAATCCTTTAAAAAAGAAGCTTGCTCACAAGAGGATTGAGTACGATTTTGTAACAGCTTTTGGTTTCATTCTTTGTTCCCAGCCTTAGACTAATTTCCACCAATTTATGTTGAGTTTTTCAGCTACTTTTTGACTTTGAGGACTGGTAAATATACATGACTGCACTGACTTGTCACCTGTGTGAATATTTTATGAAAAATTATATTGTTAGATTCTGTGATGGTTTCCTTGAAGTAAACCACATTAAATTCAATGGATATTATAGTTAATCCAGATTAGTTTTCTGAGGATTGCATCTTGGCAACTATACCCTAGATAAATTTATTCAGAAGTCCTTTAGCATATGTAGGCTTTTTGAGCTATTAGTTGCATAGAGCCTTGCAAAGAATATTCCAGAAATAAAAAATGAAACTGAAACTGAACATTAACTTTTTTGAGAAAATTGCATAACATTTCAGCTCTTGGCAAATATTTTGAGGAAAATTAGTTTCAATTGCTAACTGTACACATTTTAATGTTCTGTACAATGTGCTTGATAGGCTTTTGTTAAAAAGAGGCAAGTAGTTAATTTGATTGGTGTTTTTGTTGGAAAATGTTTTCTCAGCAACTTGTCTCATGAATGAATTATATGCTTTTTTTCAGCCCTTCTGGAAAGCTTGTTCAAATTGAATATGCTTTGGCAGCTGTTGCAGCAGGAGCCCCATCGGTTGGAATTAAAGGTGTTAAAGATGCTTATATAATTAATAATGTTTACCAAATGTTTTAGCTTAAATATTCTCATGCCCCCATTTTAAATATTTGTGACTTGGTGGAAAAAAAAATACTGGTAAAATGTTGTTGTCTGATCACTTAAAAGAAACTTTTACTTGGCCCTGCGAGAACAAATTGCTAGGATAAATGTTTGGCCTGATCAAGCAAACTTAGAATTTTGAGACTCCATGCATACTATTCATCTTATAAGATAAAGAGTTTCTTACATGAAAGGCTTTACTCTTTTATGAGAAGGTAGTTCCTATATTGTGCAAGGATTTCATGTCTGGACTATTGCTCAGATAGGGCATTTCCAGGGTTCTAAAATATGTGTTATTTAAAATAAGACACAAATCCGTCAGTAAGAAAGAGGTTAATTTATTTAACTGAACATTTTTTTCTTTTTAAATAAACGTTTCTAAGAAAATTAAAATAAACAATTATTACTTTGGTAATTCAGGGTAAATTCTATGGTTTATTTGACATCCCACATTTCCTTTGGAAATTTAAATAATAAATCTTATATAAGATAAATGGAAGCAGATTTATAATTTGATAAAGTATAATTCAAAACAAGGGATAGTGTGGTGTTTATCAACAGCAAGGCACAGGATGATCCAAGTATTGTAAGATCATATTAAAAAGAGAAACAGTGGTAAAGAGAAGCAGCTGCCTACAACAAACATGGATGAAAATCTGCTGAGTCAGTTTACACTGAGGCCTATAAAGGGACCATACACTATAGATAGGGTTGGGAAAAGAAAAAGGATAAAGCATAATTTATAATGATTCATAATCTTCTTTTTCTTTTGATACAACCTGCTAGAGTGGCAGTTGGATGGTTGGAGGTAAACACCTGATAAAATGTCTGTGGTATGATACATAAGCAAATGAATTCATCAGTTAATTGATTTATACAGTGAATATTTGAAATGTTGGAAGGAAGAAGTTTTCTAATAACACTAATTCAGTGCTTTCTTTTTTTAATGTAGCTGCAAATGGTGTTGTACTAGCAACAGAGAAAAAGCAGAAATCTATACTGTACGATGAACGGAGTGTACACAAAGTGGAACCTATTACCAAACACATAGGCTTGGTATATAGTGGCATGGGCCCTGATTACAGGTAACTAAGAAAAATAGCATTAAACAGAAGTATTACTATTAGCCTTTGGGCTGGTTTTGAGATAGATAAAATCAAGTTGGTTAAATGTTGTTTGGAATTCAATAGGCACTATACATCATATTGTTTAGAAGACATCTTTGCAGAAAGTTAAACACTTAAGCCCTTGCATATATACATATGTATACTAGCAGCCTGGCTTTGTGGCATGATTCTATTCATGGTTCCCTCTGTGCTCTGCCAAATGTGAACAAGTTTTTAACTGTAAAGACTGTAATCCCAGATGTATTTCTTAATGTGGAAATACAGGTCCTTGATTACTAACAGCTAGGGCCTTTTTCTGAAATATGCGTGTTATACGTGTGTGTACATACATATATCAGTATAATGAGACTGACCAAGTAGCCTGATAGATAAAGTCAATGAATTAGCTAAAAACTTTTTTTTTTTTAAATCATTCTTGGAGGTTTGTGGCCTTTCACTTTGTAGAATAGTATGAGAATAATTGCTCTCCTGTTATTCAGCTGGAGATTGCGATGAAGAAGGAAAGTACCAGAGGCAGGCTAAAAGACAGTAAGATACACAGTATGTTAGTATTATGCTTGTAAATGTTTTACTTTCTGCCTAGATTCCAGGTTTTCAGAGAATCTGACTAGCCAGTTTTAAAAATCAGCATAAGCCCTATCATTAAATTAATGTAAGTTAAAAAACAAAGCCACGCAAACTTTACTCAAGGAGGAAAAAAACACTTAAAATCTCAGTGTTGTCTGTGTGTGATATGGCCCTTTTTTATTTTGCACATTATTTTGCTCCCTGGAACCGTAGTTTCTCCACAAAAATTAAGTGCAACCCTCAGCCATGAAAAATTGTCTACTCCTGCTGTAATTTAATAATCGGTTTTGCTTTTTTTTTGTCGTCAGAGTACTTGTTCATAGAGCACGTAAATTGGCTCAGCAGTACTACTTGGTTTATCATGAGCCTATTCCAACAGCCCAGCTAGTGCAGAGGATTGCTTCTGTGATGCAAGAATACACGCAATCTGGGTATGCTACTTGCTTCTAAATAAAATTCACTTGTTTCTTTATTCTTCATGTTATGCAGGTGGTGACCAGTCATTTTGTCTAATATACCAGGCACTAGTTATGTCAGGATTACTCAATAACCATAACCGTGCATGTATATGAATGCAGACTCTTCCACCTGCTATTTCCCAGCACACAAGCTTACTGGGTCACCTTCAGGGACTTTGCAGTACTACTAACTAGAGAGCATCCCCATAAATAAAAAAGAAATAGGCTGCCTGATTACTAATGCCCAGAAGTACCTGCAGACCATGCAATAAGTTTAAAACAAACCATTGATATCTGTTTTCTATTTAGGCCACTTTGGTGGGATGGGGATTGACAGAGCATGACCAGGCACAGTGCACTTCAATTGCTAAGCTGTATTTACAGTTTAGTGTGTTACTAAACCGTAAATACCTATTAAGTATATTAAAATATGAGGTGTCACGATGATGCAGCAACTAAAATTTTCTAAGACTGTACACAGGCTTAAATTCTTTTCTGGAAGAAAATATTCTATTCTTGCTTACCCTGCCTTGGTGAGATCTTTGTTCCAGTTTGGTGAATTGGACAATTGTTACAATTTGCTGGCATATAGGCTTAAATGTCACCTTTTCTTTGTACCATAGGCAGACTCATGAGCTCTCCTGCTTCTGCTTTTCCACTTCCTTTTGAAGAGCCTTCATTTAGGACATTCTTGAATGTGCGGCCTGAACAAGAGTGCCACAATCACTTGCTGCCTAACCCATGTTTTCATTATGCTGGTCATCTGTAACCTAGGAAGCTGTTAAGTGAAGAAAAATGAATAACAGAAAATAATTATTATATATCTCAAGAAACTAGCATGACTAATGCCATAACAAATGAGTTCTCAGTGCTCTTAATGTGAGGAAGATTTTTTAAAGTAATATTAATACATTTGACTAATGTTTTAGGGAGAGTAAGTACTGACAATTCCTCTGTCACTCCTTTAGTAGTAGCTTGATTTGCAGATGCATTTTTTCCATCAGTCTCCATACTAATAAAATTTTCACCTGCTTGAATTTCTGTATATAAAGCTGCTGCTAAAGGTATAGGAGCAGAATCAGCAAAATAGTTGGCAGCCTTACAATTATTTAATACATAATGTATCTCTTTCAAATTATAAAATGATATGACTGTAACAATAACTGACTCAATAACTTCTTCAATGCTGCCCTTGAGTGTTTCTGATGTCTGTTTTACCTGATAGGGGTGTACGTCCATTTGGAGTGTCATTGTTAATATGTGGATGGAATGAGGGGCGACCATATTTATTCCAGTCTGATCCATCTGTAAGTATTTAAGATTGGACTATTTTATAGCCTTACTGTATATAAAAACCTGGTATAGCTATCTGCTTGAAGAATTTTCTCAAGTATTGTTTTTTGGTAGCACTTTTTTAAAGCAATATATATGGATAATTTATGGTTAAAAATGCCAGGACAAAACGTTGTTCACAGCTACTAGGACAGCTTAGCTGATGAGCTTTAAAATCACGTGAGGAGATCTACTAGATCTGAATAAGGAGGCGTCATGTTCAATATCCTTCTTTCAGTGCTGTTGCTCTTTTATTTCAATATTCACCCACAGAACAACTTCTGAACTTGGAGGTTCCATTTAGTTATCTTGGCTAATAGCGCTTGCTATTACCATGATTTTTTAAATTTTTGCCAAAGTGATTTCATATTTTATATTGTCCAAAGAAGTTCACTTTGATCTTTGGTTCTGGTTCCTATATTATAAAACAGCCAGATGTCTTTTTATCTTCTCAAGACTTCTTGTAACTTTGTAACCCCTTGGTTGATTTAATTGATAATCTTTGTAAAATGTATTAGATTGTACTGGCTCAGCTCTCTTATTTTTGTGGTATTCTGTACTTATAGATAAAGTGACATAAAAATGCTACTGTATATACTTGTGAATAAGCCAAGAATTTTAGGTGTCAGAATGCACCCAAAAAATTGGGTTCGGCTTATCCGTTAATAGGATTAACTGTGAGTATATACAGTAATATTTTTTAAAGTACCTATATATCCCATATATACTCACAGGTAAACCATCCACGGATAAGCCGACCCTCAAATTTTTAACCAAATTACATGAAAAACAGACTACCCATGGATAAGCCAATTGTGAAAGTTAAAGCATATAAAATTTTTGAGGGTCAGCTTATCCACAGATGAGCTTATAAGCTAGTATATATGGTACTCCTCTCTCCCTCCTCCCATTTCATCAGAACCTTACTGCAGGTAGTTCTTGATTTATGACCACAGTTGGGACTGGAACTTTGGTTGCTAAGTGATGCAGCTGTTAAGTGAGTTGTGCCTGATTTTACAACGTTTTTTGCCATGGTCGTTAAGCAAATCACTGTGGCTGTTAAATGAATCATGTGGTCGTCCCTGGGAAGGTCATAAATGGCAATTGTGACTGTGACTCGGGGACTCTGCAACTGTTGTAAATGCATGCCGGTTGCCAAGCACCCGAATTTTGATCACGTGACCATGGGGATGCTGCAACAGTTGTAAGTGTGAGGACCGGTTGTAAGTTGCTTGTTTCAGTGCCGTCGTAATTTTGAGTGGTTGTTAAACGAGTGGGTATAAGTCGAGGACTACCCATAGTCAGAATAATCCTGAGGTAAAATCTCATACACTGTCAGAATGTTGGTGAATTTAACCCATTATTATCTCATTCAGCTTGCAATTGGAGAATACTAGGGTTTTGCATGCTGGAGAAGACTCTTAAGAGTCCCCTGGACA